GCTGATCGTGCCGATGCCGTGCAGCAGCAGTCCTCTGCTGATCGTGCCGATGCTGTTGATCGTGCCGATGCTGTGCAGCTGCAGTCCTCCGTGGGCCCAAAGACGCCATCTCCACGTGCTCGACGTGCTGCTCCCCGATCCCCTGTAGGTTCGGTCAGGCAGGGTGAGCCGGTGCCACAAGGTGGTCGTCTGCAGGATGCAGACACGAAGCTCCACGGAAGCACATGATCTTGGCCACGGCAACATGGATCATCGGATCGCGATTGGGGTTCGCTCGCGGGAAAAGGGATACCGGAGCACTGCTGGTCTCCACGTACGGTGCTGGCTTGCATGCTCGGACCCATTGCTGATTGATGTGGCTGTGAGGCCGTTGACAGATCCATGCCGGCATCGACATCTCCGGAGGCGGTATGTCCTGAGTCGGCCGTGTGCTGCAAACGACATACGGAGACATCGGCCATGTAGCAGGTCACTACAGTACTCTTGCTACCAGTAGTGGAGCCGCTCCGGCAGCAGGGCCACTGCACAGTACTGTACAGTACTGTAGACTGCCCTGCGACCCCAGCCCGTTCCCGGGAACCCCGGGCCTCTCGCCACGGTCAGGTCTCTTCGCTCGGCCTCCAGCTTGCTTGGACCCTGGAGTGCAACCTCTCCGAGTTTACTGTAGGGTTGAGGGGCTGAGGGGTTTGCATTGCTGCTCTATGCCGAAATGGCACAAACGACTGCAGTTAGCATATGTTCTCGGGGCATTGGGGGAGGCAAGTGCTTGGTGAGGCCTTTGCGGGCAGCGGAGCTACGGTCAGGTCTCTTCGCTCGGCCTCCAGCTTGCTTGGACCCTGGAGTGCAACCTCTCCGAGTCTAGGGTTGAGGGGCTGAGGGGTTTGTATTGCTGCTCTATGCCAAAATGGCACAACCGACTGCAGTTAGCATATATTCTCGGGGCACTGTGGGATGCAAGTGCTTGGCGAGGCCTTTGCGGGCAGCGGAGCATCTCGTCGGGAGCTCGAAGTGCTGTACAGTTACAGTACTGTGCGTACAGTACAGTGATGCACTGCACTTCCACCCATTGCGATCAGCACTGCACGCAACTGCAGTACAGTATATACAGCAGTGTACTGTATAGTACAGTATACAGTTCACCGAAGACAGCTGTGCGTCCCTGTGCCCGACCGTAGCAGCTTAATCAAGCCTCAAGTTATTGTACGCCCTCGCCAAAAAAAACACCAAGCCCGCCATGACCTCCGTGATGGACATGCTGATGAAGAATGTGAGTGCGCAGGAGATGGCGCGAGCCAGGCGGGCCAGCCAGCAGGTGGCGCAAGCTCCGGGGGAGCCTGCCACCAGCGCTGGGCCGCCGGCCGAAGACGACGCTGTCTCTGAGGCCCCACTTGCTTCAGAGAAGGGCGATGCGAAACTGCCCGCCCTGCCACCGGGTGTCCACCGATTCATGAAACAGACCCGGGCAAACCTGGACAAGAGCACCTACCGGAGATTTCAAGCGGTGCATTGGGGTGAGGCAAGGGATGCGGTGGCGATCGCCTGGAAGGAAGAGGCAGAGAGAATTCTCTGCGATTTCGAGTTGAAATCATCCAAAGACGCACTTGCCTTCCTGCAGAGCATGGACTTGTCCGTTGCCTCTTCAGCTACGATTGAAGCAAAACGCTGTCTCTTGGTGGAGTCGCTGCAGAACGGCCGCATTCAGCAGGTGGAAGACCGGCTGTGCCTGGTTGCCCTCAAGACACTCGCCCACCTAGATGAAGTTCCTTCTGGCTTCAATTTGCGAAGCCGTCCTGACGGCTTCCACGCCGAATGGAGTGGGAAGAAGGGAATGCTGCTCAAGGCCCGTCTTCTGCAGAACTGGACATCGCCGTGCTCAACTACTGTAAAGTACTGTGGAGCACAACGCTGTATTGTACTGTATACAGTAGTCATGTACCGTAGCGCAAGCTGTGTGCTGCTCTGCATTGCTACTTGCGGTACTGTACTGTACAGTACCGCACTGTGCTGTACTGTACTGTACAACATGATACTGCACAGTACTGTAGATTGAGTTTCATTTCATCTGAATGCCGCAGGTGCACAAATCCGCTGCTGCAGCCTGTGCTTTCTTGCAGAGTATGCAAGCTGCTGAGCAGAGCGGGGCGGTGGAGAAGTCGCTCAAGGAGCTGGAAAATCAAGGCTCAGCAGCAGGGGAGTCGCAGAAAGCTATCCGGGCACTGCTGAAGCATTCGAGCTCGCAAGAACTGGGCCAAGCCGTGCTGGAACTAGCCGATGCTGAGACTGAGACGCCTGCCGTGCTTGCAACTGCCGAAGACATTACGGCGGAGTTCCTAGCACCCATGTCGCAGATGGGGCCGGAGCTGTGTGTCGCCGAGGTTGGCGTGTACAAGGGAATGCTGAGGTATCTGCATTCTGCGACCGACCCTCGCGGCCTCCTGGCTGCCACTTCCGATCTTGTCTGCCGGGACTTGATCTTGAGTTCTGGGACGCCCCTGCGGGACGTGCTGAAGACACCCGAGCTGCAGGAACGCTGGAAGGCTCTCGACGTGAAACCAGTGGGCATGGTGGTGCAAGGAGGGGCGTCGCCGCAGCAGCATCACGAAGATCTGGAGATCCTGCGCCAGGCAAATCCGTCCGCCGAGCAGCTGCTGTTTATGTCCTTCCCCGGGCCTATTTCATGGCAGGTGCAATTCAACAACGGTCTCCAGTGCTGTAGAGCGGAGCCGAACTCCCACGTGGGTCGGAGAGCGGGTAGGACCAGCTTCACAGCAGCCAGACTGGAACAGCTGGGCGTCACGTTCGAGGACGAAGCACGGGCACTGGCACTGAGGGCCATCCAAGCCACCACGGAAGCAGGGATGCAGCGGGTTGAGAGACGCACCCAAGCCCAGATCATACCCGTGCCTCCTGATGGACTTTGCTGCTACCATGCCCTGATTGCCGGCCTCGACTGTGCCAGATACCTGCGCGGCACGGCATACATTACAGTACATACTGTACAGTAATGTACAGTACTACTGTACTGTACTACAGTACTGTACTGTACGGCGTGGTAATTACAATACAGTACTGTACTGTACTGCGCAGTACTGTGTCAAATTCCGAAACCGGACAAATAACCGCAGTTAGCATATCAATTGGAGCGTCCGCCCTTTCTGTGCCACATGTCTGTGCAGTACAGTACTGTACAGTACGGTACGCATTGCACTGTCCTGCAGTGCTAGCACATTGTTTCCCGAGGCATAGACCGAACGTCGTTGGGCTTCGCCAGGAACAGTCGGCAACAGCGGCTGGAAGCAGGGGCGGCTTACGCACTCCGGAACCTGGCGCTGGAGGCAACAGCCGACCTGGAATTTCCGGAGTGGCTGGCGCGGCTCGCCCACAACGCCGCCCAGCAGATGCCTGTGGACGTGCAAGAGCTGCACTGGCTTGCACGTTCGCTGGAGCTGCGGATACGGTGCACCGTGGACGCAGAGGCGCTCATAGGGAAACTGCGCAGTTAGCACCTGCTGAGCAGGCATGGGGGCATGAGGGGCACAGTACAGTACTGTACGTACAGCACATTCGAGAATTGAAGTCGTTACGCATGTTTGTGGATCTGACCAGACACAGGGGGGAAGCATTTGCATAAGTCACAATGCCCAAAGACTTTCCTTCAGCGCAGTTCTGCGCAGTGGTGTACTGTACAGTATCCGCTGTCATCTGGAGGTGCTGCAGTGGGTTGTCGGCATCAACGAGGATGCCATCTATGGGGATTGTACCGACGACACCTATGATGTCCATGTGTACTTCCGCTGTCTCACAGGCGAGGACGGCAGACGATGCAGCCACTTTGATCTTCTTCTCCCGTATTCCGAAGGCGATGAGCAGATCGGAATGGTGATCCCCGTGCCGCCTACAGTGAAGCCCGCCCCTGTTTGTGAAATGTACAATGATCGGTTTCCTGGCCAGCAGATGGAACCGATGAACGACAAGCCTGAGGAGCAGAATCAGGAGAACGTTTTGCAGGGGGATGAAGTTGAGACGATGGCCCCGCAGATCACGGAGGAGCAGAAGGACAAACAGGCCGAGTCCCAGGAGCAGAGAGGGGAGCAGATAAAGGAGGGAACGGCCAACAGCGAGTCCCCGGAACAGGGCGAGGAGCCGCCGATGCCTGCGGAGACCCCGAAGCTACTGACGGAGAATCGCCAGGATGAGAATGCAGAGAAAAAGGAGGAGGACACTGAGACCAAAGGTGAGGCCAAGAACGAGCTCCCGCAGCAGAGGCAGAATCAGCAGGTGGACATCCCAGACAAGAATAAGGATGAGGCAGGTGAGACCAGTCATCAGGGGCTTGAACAGCAGCAAGAGCAGGCTGACAAGCAGTTGCATGATGAGCAGAGGGAAGTTGAGGAACTGGAGGAAGAGGACAAGGGCGAGGGAGGGGAGGAGCATCAGGAAAGCGACAACGGGCAGCAGGAAGAGGAGCAGCGGCAGGAAAACAACCAGGGGCTGCAAGAAAAGAGTCAGGGAGGGAAGGAGCAGGAGCAGGAACTCAGTGAGGAAGCGGAGGCAGATGAAAAAGGCGAGGGCGGGGAGAAGGAGCAGGAAGTTGATGCTGAACAGGAGGAAGATGATGAGGGCGAAGGAGAGGAGGAGGAGGAGGATGAGGAGGAGCAGGAGAAGGAGGAGGAGGAGGATGAGAAGGAGGAGGAGGAGGAGGAGGAGGAGCAGGAAGATGACGAAGGTGAACAAGCAGAGGAGGAGGAGGTGCACGAAGTCGATCCGGAAGTGGAGCCAGATGAGGAGGGCAATGGGGAGTTCTGTGCTTGCAGTACAGTACAGTACAGTTCAGTACAGTACATACAGTACTGTGTAAAGCAGTCGGCCCTGCTGAACACAGGTCATATATATGCCATAGTACAGTGCAGCACATTACTGTAATATACTTTACAGTACAATACAGTACAGTACTGTACCGTAACTCCTGGGTTGGAAGTGCACTTCTGGTCTGTCCCAAGGAGTCGAGACCTGCCAACATGGAGACCATGCTTTCCATTGGCAAAATGGAGATCCTTCAGAGCATCTTCCAGGGAGAGAAAACGTTGGAGATCCGCAACCGGCAACTACGGCCTGGCCGCACCTGGGTGTGTCTCAAGGACCGAGTCTACGGCACCGTGGATGTGGGCAAGCCCTTCCGCATCTCTGACCCGAAGTTATGGAAAGCCAGGAAAGCTGACCACTGCGTGCAGAGCAACGTGCCAATGTACGGAGAGAAGACGTGGGCCAACCCCGTGTCCAACCCTCGTAAGCTCCCAGAGCCTCTTGCCTTTTATCGCAAACACGGGGCCATCGGCTCTGTCAAGTACAGGCCAGCGGAGGGAGCCAAGAACAAGAAGGAAGAAAAGAAGGGTGAGGAGACGAACGAGGAAGGTGACCAGTCTCAAAGCACCACTTCGGCGTCCGCTCCCAAGAAGTATGCCGTGGCCACTCTGTCCCGCACCCTCATGGACAGAGTGCGGGAGGCAGCCAATCAGAAGCGGAAGAGCTTCGAGCTCCTCACCACCAGCAGATACACTGCTGGTGGTGAGATGCTTCTGGTGCAGACCAAGACGGATAACAAGGTGGCTATCCAGGCCTCGCTTGTGCAGCACAGGCGGCTGACGACCACCTGGGAGCTCACCAAGGCTGCTGCCTACAAGCAGGCCACGGCACCCGAACAGACGGCGTGGAAAGCCAGGTTGCACCAACACCTGGCCGTCTACAGCTGTCGGCTCAGCAACCTCCGAGCCCCGTCGACAAATATACGACTTCGGGGCGGCCACGGCTGCAGGAGGACGGTGGCCGTGGAATCCGATGTCGTGGAGGAGGAAGCCACTCCGAAGGCAGAGATCCCCGCTCTCAGCCTCCGGGACACAGCTCGCTACTTTTTGCAGCGTCTGTCGGAGGCAGATCGAGGGAAGCTGAGCGCTAACGTCAAAGGGCTGAATGGCTGCGAAATCAAGCTGGGCAGCACTTGCTCAGGGACAGATGTGTGCACGAACGTGTTCAAGCACACGCTGCAGTTCCTGGCCGAGCAACACCAGGCCACCTTAGCGCACAGTACAGTAGTGTACTATGCAGTACTGTACCGTACAGTACTGTACAGTGCAGTGCAGTACAGTAGTCCACGCATTCTGCAGTACCGTACAGTGCCGTACTATGTGCGGCTGGCGGGCAACGTGGATGGCAACCCTTCCTGTATAATTTCTGTTGTCAAGACCCTGCAGAGAACTGCAGTTAGCATATATTCCGGGCCAGCCGCCTTCGTTCCGTGACTCCGTGTATACCTGGGTGGGGTGGGTTCCTCCTACAAGCTGCCATGAACACTGTACTGTACAGTACTGTGACTGTACCGTGTCCCTACTGCACAGCTGCGTCGGGAAGTGCGGTTACCCGGGCGGTTCCCTTGTTTGAGACCGTGCTGCATTGTACAATACAGTGTAGTACAGTACGGTACTGTACCTGTATACCGTACAGTACAGCATGGTACTGTATACTTTCCTGCGCTGTATCGTGTGATCGTTTGACGCTCAGGTCTCCATCAGCGTCAAACATGTGCTGGCAGTGGAGCTGGATAAAGGCAAGCGCGATTTTCTGATGCGCGCACACAAGCCCACCTTCTGCCTTTTCGAAACGGTGGACATGTTCGCCAAGGGCAAGACTGCATTCTGCCACACGTGCCGGCGAGTACACGAGGCGCCTGACGTCGACGTTCTTGTGGTCGGCTCCAGCTGCAAGTCCATTTCAAGGATGAACAACTCGCGGACAGACTACCAGGATTGTTGCTCGGCATAACGTTAGTGCTTTGCTGGACGGCCACACTGTACTGTACAGTACAGGTCGAAACGCAGTACAGTACAGTACTGTAGTGTTCCGCATACTTGTACCGCAACCTACATCACTACACTGTACTGTACAGTACTGTATGTACAGTGCAGCGCTGCACTGTGATGTATCGCATGGCAATCTGTCTTTGTCTGTGCACATGCAGGCTACCAGAAAGGCAAGGGCTGTTCTGGGAGCACGTACCAGAATGGTGTCCTGCAAGCGAGCAAAGAGTTGGCTCCAGCCCTTCTCTTCTTTGAGCAAGTCGTAGGCATTTTGGATTCGCCGGTGCAGAAGAACGGCAAGAGAAAGACTCCTTTGGTCCAGGCCGGTCGGGGAACATGACTTTAGCGCAGGGTTTCCTTGTTGTACATGTGGCAGAAATGGACAGGCGGACTGCAGTTAGCATATGCTGTTGGCCATGGGGTCGCCGAGTACTGTATTGCACAGTACTGTACTGTACTGTAATGTATTGGACTGTACTGTAGGAACAACACATAACAGCACAGATATTCCCAGTACAGTACGGTATAGTGCTGTACAGCGCAGTACAGTGCAGTGCATGCAGGTCATGGAGAGCGACATGGCATCGCTAGGCTACACCTTCCAATTCAAGAAGCTGGACGCGCAAGGCTATTTGTTGCCGCAGCGCAGGAACCGGGTCTACGCACTAGGAGACGTCCAGTCAGGCCGCGAACCCTTCAACCTCCAGTCGGCCATGGGACAGACCCTCGCAGACTTGGCATCGGACGTCCCTTTAGCAGAGCAAGTCTTCGATGCGAGCCTGCCCAAGGAAAGTCCAAGGTCAGCACTTGGAGCTCAAGTAGTGGAAAAGGCGAAAGAGGAGGCTGCGCTGCGTGCCGATATTGACATTTTCATCGACACGCAGACATCACTCAAGCGAAAGCCCGAGATGAGCTATGCAACCTCCACATGTGTGCGGCCGTCGCACGAAATCTACTCGGCAAGGATGGAGAGATACCTCACCCTCCGTGAGCAGTGGCTCTGCCAGGGTTTGTTCCCTAACGACTTTGAGTTTGCCGAGGAGGTGGAGAAATTTATCAGAGAGAAACCTAGCCTTGCGAAAGACCTAGTCGGCAACGCAATGGCTGGCACCGTGCTGCAGGCTCAGGCGGGGACACCTGTACTGTACTGTACTTACAGTACAGTACTGTACAGTACTGTACTGCACTGTAGGCGGACAGTGCCGTGGAATGTATCTTCGTGTACTATATACAGTACCGTATAGTACAGTACAGTAATGTACACAGTGCGGAACCGCAGTTGGCATGCATACAGCATACGGTGTACAGTACTGTACAGTACTGAGTACAGTGTTGCACAGCAGCGGTCTTTCATTCAAAGCATACTGTACTGTGCAGGTGATGGCTGCCCTGGTGCACGCGCAAGGCTGGAAGAACTTAAGTGCTGAGCACAGGACAAAGTCCATTGGAACTGAGTTCGACTGGAAGCAGTATCGGGTGAAACCCGCCGTGGAGTACTACAAGCCACCGACAGGCTTATGGGCCCCGCCAGTCACGCATGATCAGACAACCGAGCAGCTGAAGAACATGTGGGGCAAGTACAAGACTCACAAGAGTGATTGGAACGCCTTGCCGAGCAAAGAGCAGGATGAACTCTGGGTGCAATTCCGAGAGCAGCCACGGCAAGAGCAGAGTGCGAGCGCCGTACCGAGCGCTGTGGAAGATGCGCTTGTGCAGCAGCCAGCTGCAAAGCCGCAGCCTAAAAGACGTGCAAGTGAGATATGGAACACTGTCGAACAAGCACTTGCGCAGGAGCCATCTGCAAAGCGGCAGACGACAGAGGCCTCGTCCTCCTCCAGGCAGGCGGACTCCGCAGCCATCGTGGACAAAGAACCTGCAGCAAAGCGGCAGCGGCTGTCCAAGACAGATGCTGCGCCCGTTGGCGGTGCCAACTGGGTTTCAGGAACCAGGTTGAAGCACAAGACATCACGCGATTCGGCCAGCTCCGCATGCGACCGGCCCGCCACAGGTCGCGACAAGCCCGCCAAGGACACAGAGAAAAGGGTGGTCATGTACGCCCCTTCCGTGCAAGAGCTTCGGAAGATGAAGAAAGAGCGCAGGCTGTACACCCGCAGGAGCGCGAACATAGAGCGCAAGGGCAAGAATGCATGCTTGGATATCTTCCGCAAGGTCGCGCTGCTAGACGAAACTCAGCCTTGCAGTACAGTATTCTGTACAGTACAGTACTTTACAGTATAGTCCCACCCTCACGGTACAGTGCAGTACTGTATGTGCAGTATTGTGTGGAGTGCAATCAACGTGATGCCGTGCAGCTCAGGAATGGGAGGAGGCCAAGAAAGACCCAAAGATCAAGTCGCCAGAGCAGTACATGCTTAAAAAGCGCAGGACCGCTGCTTTCCAAGGATGCTTCGGCCGATGGTCCAAATCTGCCCTCCACTTCCAGTGGAGGGCATTCGTGAAATGCGCACCCGAAATGTCCAAGCTTTGCAGCGAGGTGCCGAACTCGGTGCGAGGGATGCTTGGATTGGTCAAGAAGCACACGAACAGCAAGTTCAGCACATCGAAGGGCCTTCACCAAATTCCTTTTGCATTGGGTGTTGCGCTGGAAAAGCTATTGATGGACCACGTTATCGCAGGTGAGGAAGTTACTCTGGCATATGCCAGCAGCGTTTGCAGCTCGCTGGTAGAGCTGTGGAATGAGCAGGTGGAGGGCTTTGCCAAGAGTGTCGGGGAGCTGAAGCTCGCGCAGGCAGACTCCCAGCTGGCATCCGGCGCGAGTGCCAAGGACGTGAAAGCAGTTGCTCAGGCCCGAGCTGCAGCGCAGCGTTTTTTTTGTTGTACGTTTGTGTGGCAGAAATGGGCAGGCGGACTGCAGTTAGCATATGCTGTTGGCCATGGGGTCACCGAGCACTGTATTGTACAGTACTGTAATGTGTTGGACTGTACTGTAGGAGTGGATGGTGCTGCAGGGGAACCACAACAGCACATAACAGCACAGCTATTCCCCAGTACATTGCTGCTTTGTCCGTTCTTGAGACTGCGTGCTGTACATTACACAACGTACTGAAAGCTGTCCTGTCAGGCGTCAGAGCTGGACTTCGAACAGGCTCTGCAGCAGCTCCGCCCAATCGTGCTAACGCAGAAGCACGAGACCTTGAGGCAATCACCATACAGTACTGTAAGTACTGTACTGTGCTGCACTGTAATGTTCTGTGTTGGGCAACGCGCGTGTGTTCTTTGTCTTTCCCTGGATCAGGAGGCACGTGCGGAAGGTTTGCACGAGCTTGGGCCTCAAGGCACACGCTGTGGGCAAGAACACCACAGGCCGCCACCTTCCATATGACCACCCATCTATGGAGAGGGTTCGCCAGGGCGTGGAGTTCTTGCGGACTCGCCACAACATCCGACCGGAGCTGAATCTGGGCTGCTTCAAGAGCTGCAACTTGTACAGTACTGTGCTGCATACACAGTACAGTACAGTACTGTACAGTACAGTGCAATAAAGAATTTACTGTGGTGCGGCATCATCCTGTTGGCAACAGCGTGCCTGCCGGCGTATGCTACTGTACAGTAAGTGCACTCTACAGTGCAGTACCGCACAGGGTCTTGAACAGTAGGACAGTATAGTACAGCACAATACCCTCTCCTCGCCCTTTGCTCTCCTCTCCTCTCCTCTCCCTCTCGTCTGTGATGTAAGAACTGCACTGTACTGTACTGTAGGCAATACTGTATGTACAGTAAGTAATACTGTACAGTACTGTAATTCTCCTGTACTGTACAGTAGCCGCCGCTGTGACCTGAGGACGTGCAACTTCGACCAGGTGTGGTGCACCCACTACGAAGGTCCGAAGAGGGTGCTGTTCAAAGATGCTGCGCTGCAGGGCATGATCCCTGGCAAGCCCAGTGCCACACTGGGCCTGCCATCTGAAGCAGCCACAAACCCTCCACCCGGGGACAGAGCAGCCTTGAATGCTGGCTCCACGCTCATCCCCGTGGATAATAACCGCTGCGCTCGCACCACCACCACCCTCACATGGGCTGATGGCACAATGGGACGTGCATATGTCACAGCATCGCCCAAGATGCTCACTGCGCGCGTGATTTCCGAAATGAATGCAGAACTCGGTGGTATGATGCACATTTCCAGCAATCACGACTCCCACTCTCACATGTGGGCAGCTGAGACAATGTCGCACTACCTCGAGTTTCTGAAAACGGAAATCCGCCGCAAGAGGCAGTCCCTCCAGCTGGATGCCACACACAAGGCCCTGGTGCTCTGCGACGCAGCGTCCGTGCACTCCACCGCACGGTTCGCCAAGATTCGCAAGACCTTCGAGAAGGAGGCGGCTGTTGCAGCGCAGTACTGTACAGTAGTGTGCTGCACAGTAAGTACGGTACTGTACTGTAAAGTACGGATCCAGTGTGTGGTACAATCCGCATGGGAATCTACCACAAATACCAATCCGCACCCACTACAGTACAGTAAACGCAACCCCGACGGTGTCTATGAATAGCAAGCCACACCATGTGAAAAGCATGTGAATCTGCCACAAATACCAGTCCACACCCACTACAGCACAGTACAGTAAACGCCACCCTGATCAGTACGGTGTCTACGCATGCAGTACATACTGTACTGTACTGTAGTACTGTACTGTATAGTCCGGTATACAGTACTTCTTGATGGATTTGATTGCAGTTAGAATATACTGTACAGTGCTGCATTGCGCCGGCAGGCAAATGCAATCTTGATCCACGGCAAGGACGAAGATGGCGACGGGCTGCACATTCCTGGGGGCTGGGGCGCAGCTGGAGCCCCCAACGACGCGTGGCATCAGTTTTTCCACTCCATTCGGCGGAGTTGGATGAGGGTCGCATCGGGTTCAGCAGACATCGCAGCCTTGCGGCGAGTGCTGCACACAACCGAGCTTTCCGTGGACGGCAACCCCAGGTTTGAGCCCTCTGCACGCAATACTGTACAGTACAGTATTCTGCAGTACTGTATTGTTGTTCTGTACTGTACACTGTACTGTACAGTGCAGTGTCGCTTGCTCTACCACAAGGTGCTGTAGTTACTGTACAGTATTGTACAGTAGCCAATACGTACTGTAAAGATACAGCGCAGTGAGTACAGTACAGTACAGTGCTTTTGAGATCCTTTGAGTGTACTGTGCCCAGGCTGACGATCCAGAACAGCTTACGAGCTGACGCGTTCGCCCTCCAGCAGATCCAAAATTACCGCAGTGGCAAAATCCTGGCGTGGGCATGGGTCAGTCGGGGGCTGGTCACCAAGCAGCAGTTTGCTGATGCTCGCTTTGGCGGGAACCTGGAGAAGGCTCAGAATGCCATTAAGTCCGCTCCAGGCGAACTCAGTGAGATCATCAACATGGAACTCACCAAGGAAATCTCGCTCGAGAAGGAGAGCCAGGCCATCCAGGAGGCAGGTGAGCCGCTGCCGGGGGAGGTCAGCAGCGTGTGGTGCATCCAGCTCAACGCGGACTCCGAAGTGATCCCTCTGCCTTCCTGGTTCCGTGTCCCACTGCAGCACGTCTTGTGCGGCTGGATGGAACAAGCCATGCAGTGGGACAAGAAACTAGAGCAGCGGCGCCAGGCTGGCAGGGACCTCACCGCCCAGCAGCAGCTCAAGTATGACGCCTGGGTTGGCCAGACACAGCGCCCCCTGGTGTTTAACAAGCGGACAGGGCGCTTGGTTGCCAACCCAGGGAAGGAGACGCTCTCAAGACTAAAGAAAGAGTGTCTCCTCGTCATCCTGCATTTGTCCCGCCATGCCGAGGAGCTTAGGCTCACAGCAGGAAACGGGCAGCTGTATAAGCTGAAGCTGCTTGAGATCCCCGCTTCCAAAGTCTCCAGCACCAGCGTGGTGCCCGAGCAAGTGGACCATTTCTCAGGCGAGCGGCTCGTTCAGTACAGTACAGAACATTACAGTACAGTACAGTACTGTACGTACTCTACTGTCATGTACAAAACTCACAGTACTGTACTGTACCGTACAGTATTGTGCTTCGACGTTTGGTGGGCTGTTTTTTGGGAGCGGGGTGCTCTGTCTGAAACTGCAGATTACGGAGGATGAAAGTTGTTCAAAAACCGCAGTTAGCATATGTTTGGGGTTTCCCGCCCATCCAACGGTAGAGTAGGCTGCAGTGCAGTTCTGTAGATTGGACACAACATACTGTACTGTGCTGTGCTCTGCAGTGCTGCAACATCGACGATCGTGCCAGGCGATATGCTGCACCAGCACGAAGGTGATCAGGAGGGCGAGGAAGAGGGTGGGGATGGCACGGCCAGTGAAGCTGATGAGCTCGTCATGGAGGGCGAGTCAGAGTGGGTGGACCCTGACGTTCATGCGGCCGCTGAGGAAGAAGGGTGGGGCGACTTGCCAGACAGCGAGTCTGACGAGGCTGAAGACACGCCGGAGGCGGCGAAATCCAAGCAGCATTGCCCGCATGTCCTGGCGCTGCGAACGCAGCCCGAATACCTCAGGCTGCGTGACCTGAACTTGCACACCCGTCCGGATGGCTGCATCCTCTCCATCCACTTGGACGGGCGATGCTGGCGGTCGCAGGCGGAGGGCTGCCCCCACTACTCGCGCAGCTACAATGGTGTGAAATCCCGGAATTCGTGGCAGGCACTTTTGCGCGTGATGGAGCTGATGTTGCAAGATTATTGCGCGTCGCACCCATCCGACAAGCACGCAAAATCCCAGCTGAGCAAAATCAGAAAGCTGCGGGCAGAAGAGCCTGCGCACGACGACTGAGCCTGTACTCTACAGTACAGTAATTTTCTGCAAGTGAGTGTAGCAGAGCACTGTGCAGCACAGCACAACACGATACAGTACTGTATACAATACTGTACTGTACGCAAGTACTTTATTACAGTACATTACTGTACAGTACTGCACAGCACAGTACAGCACAGCACAGACTAGCTGATGATCACATTCTTTTCAGTACAGTAGTCGTGCAAACGCAGCTGGCAGCCTGCCACATGCAGTACAGTTCTTGCCAAGGGGGGAAGACGGCAAAAAAAAATGCAGAGTGCTTTGATTCTGCAAGTGGTTCGTGGATTCCTTTTTGTCAGCGTCGCGTGCGATCCTGAGCCGAGGCCTCGATGGTGGTCTGCCACCCGCCTACTGTGCATCGCGCCTGACAGGGTTTAGGGCTTGGGGCTTTGGGGTTTCATCCGGGAAGTTTTGAGGGTTCCTGTAGGAGCGGCGGGAGTCGAAGGCAGGCCGGTCGGGGAACATGACTTTAGCGCAGGGTTTCTTTGTTGTACATTTGTGTAGCAGAAATGGGCAGGCGGACTGCAGTTAGCATATGCTGCTGGCCATGGGGTCACCGAGTACTGTATTGTACAGTAATGTATTGGACTGTACTGTAGGAGTGGATGGTGCTGCAGGGGAACCACAACAACACATAACAGCACGGCTATTCTCCCAGTACTGTACGGCATAGAGGTAGGTTACTGAAACAAGCTTTCAATGGGCCCACTGTACAGTACAGTACTGTACAGTAAGCCCTACTGTACTGTACAGTGAACCCTAAACCAAGTACAGCAGGTGTTTACTGCAGTTCGATTCTTGTCGACTTTACTGTACTGTACAATAAAACGATGGAGTGTTTTTTTTTTAAGTTGAATGCCCATAACATCAAACACAGAGCGGATTACAGTACAGTACAATAATAATGTTGTTTACTGTTGTGTCTTTGTGTGTCATACCATGTCATACAGTACCGTATATGTGTCATATAAGGTCATTCCGTCGGCTTTAAGGTTCCTTAGTATCTTTCTTTGATATGGTTCCTTAAAAAGGTTACTGTAGGTTTGTTCCGCTGCCTACCTTTTAAGGTTCCTTGTTATGTTTTTAGGAGGCACGAATATGCTAACGGCACTTGTTTTATTGATATTCCCTGCAGTTTTTGCCATTTCGGATGCCCATCTTTGCATCCAGGATGGCATATGCTAACTGCAGTTTTCTTGACATGCTAACTGCATTTCGCCTCGGTATGCTGGTGCTTTTCGTGTCCCCACACGAGAAGATAGCATATTTTGGACCCCTCTATATGCTAACTGCAGTGTTTTTTTTGTCTAATTTCATCCGGGATTCCAAACAGCATCATATGCTAACTGCACTCCCAAAAAAACGCATATGCTAACTGGTGTTCTTGAACAGTAACCAGGTCCCGGTCCCTGAGGACCGCTTCCTGGCGGATGTCCATCACCGTCCGGATCGTGATCCAGGTCGGAATCATCATCTCCCCCTGGTACCGGTACATGAGTACCGCCTCCAGGAGGTTGTGACGGAGGGTCACCACCGACATGCAACTCAACAGGATTATCATCTAAATCCTGCTCGGGATGCTGTAGTGGCATTTCCTCATCGTCCACAGGCATATCACCGTGTGGATCATCATATCCTGGATAGTCCACATCATCGTCTGTGGCTGGCGGTTGCGGTGCAACCGGGGCCGGCGCTGGCTGGTCCGTGAAGTCCAAGCCAACATCAGGCCCGCGTCTGGAATTGTTGTTATGTGACTCATTCCAGAACACTATCATGGACCAGTGCGTTGATTGCATATCCTTAAGGCAAGGAAGCAACTGTGCCATCGTCACGAAAAACACATGATTCATATCACCCTTCTGCCACAAAATGACAACAGCATCAGGATGACGATGAACCAAAGGGAGTGTTTTCCCTTGAGTCCCCCTGTAGACGTTACAGTACTCAAACTCCAGATACGGCAGAGTCAACACGCGCACATTCTTAATCATCGGCCGCAAGGCGACCGCGTCAGACGATGTGGTCGTGTGAACTTCCAACTCAGTACCGGGAAGGAGACTGTCAACATATGACAGAGTCTGGACCAAAGACGATGTAACAAAACGCTGCGGCGCAACAAACCTCAGAGGTGTCGGAAGCTTCCCTTTGTCAGTGTTTGAGAGTAATGAGTACTCTGCTTCTGACGGAAGAACCGGTAAAGCCTCTGAATTGCGGTCTGACCGCAAACACAACGCACACAGTGTTCCATCATCAAAATCCTCAAAGATATCTTCGAACAAGTAACATTGTCGGAGATCTGATCGTTCATCACCCACAAGACACTGCGAAAGCAGCACAGCAAACCTTGGATCAAGTGCGTTAGCAGAGTCATAGCCTTCTTCCAACGACTCCAAACGGCCAAATGATCCATCAGGCAGATTAGTGAGAAAAGAAAGCTCACCATGCTGACGCTTACCGTGGTCATCTCCCCCTGAAGGAAGTACACCACGGTTCTTGAAGGTGTGGAATGAAAGTCCTCTCCTCCACTTCAGCGAGCGACTACTCTGCGAAAGCCAAAACCCACAATGAGAAGGATACATGATGGTCACGAAGTATCCATCACCCTTGTCATCTTGCCAACGGCAGACTTCGGCACAAAAGTGCCAGAAGGCATTGGTAGCCTTCCTGGTCCAACCATCAGGGATGACAGGATGAATCAAAATGTGATTAGGCTCTGCCTTCAAGATCACTCGCCAAGCGGCCTCAATCGAAGATTGGATAGACTTGGCGTTCCATTCACCAAACAACACAGGTTCACTCGCATCAAGTCCAGAATGGACTGTGCACGCAGTAAGCCCGGTGAGGCGAGGTGTGATCTCAACGAAATCGCTCTTGCCTGAAGTGAGAGTGTGGTAACAGATCTCATGCTCATAGCAGAACCCAGAACCGGCACGATCAAGAATATCGTCGCCGATGCGGTCGAGTGCCTCTTCCTGAGAAGAGCGTCTCGGGACCTCATCTTTCTTCAGAGGAATGGCCACATCATGCCACGGATCTCCATCACGCCTGACCTTCGACTGATTAACCCGAAGAACGGCACGATGAACTTCAACCAACACCATGGCACCTTCCTGTGACACAACTATGCCTCTGACCCAGGTTCCTTCAGACTTCTTCTTCGACTCATCCTTATGCCAAACAAACACGCGGTCACCCTTCGAGTAAGGACCATCAGACGGCATGACTCTCCGTGCAAGGTCCTTCCGAAGGTCAAGTGATTGTCTAGCCTCTTGATGAGCCCGCATGGCAATCCTCTGGAGTTCCAGAGTGGTTCGATCCTCCTCGGCAGGTTCAGCAGAGAGCTGTTCAGGAGAACTGTTCTCGACATCAAACAAGTCTGGTGGCCGTCTTCCTGTAGCTATCTCCAAAGGAGAATAGCCTGAGACGGTAAGCTGGCAATTTCTTGCCCAAGCCACCTTCTTGACTGCTTGACGAACAGTCACCTTCTCTGCATAACCCTCATCAGCTAAGGCCTTGGCCATGATTGCCCAGGTGCGCTTGAAAAGACGCACTGCGGTCTCAGCTCGATTAGGCCAAGGAGTCCGTGGTCCACATGGATACGGAGTAATGCCATGGAACTTGTAGTAAGACATGAACTGTGGCGTGAAAAATGCTTGATCTCCTACGATTCCCTTAGGAACGCAGTTGTTCTCCTCTGTCCATTGTCTAAAAGCTCCCAGAGTCTCTGGCGCTTCCAGGCTTGTAAGAGCCGTAGCCCACAGAAGATTTGAAGCACCATCAATGATGACCAAAGCCAAGTAGGCTTTAGTACCGAACTTGATTTCTTCATGATCAACAAAAATGAGATCACCGAAGGATGATGCTCTTAACCCTGCGATTCTGGCTCGCGGAGGCGTAGGCACCGAGGTGCTACAAACACGACAGCCTTTGACAATGCGGTCGTACTTGTCATAGATCTCTCCTGGCAGACCAAGCATGCTGGTCCTGCGTCGAAACTGAGCAGGACTCATGTGGTAATGCTTCACATGCAACTTGTAAAGCTCAACATCATTGTTCAGCTTTTCCAACATGCGCTGATACTGCGGAGAAGCCCTTGAGACCTCGTGGCCTGGCAACGGAAGCGCGATCCTCCTAGGTTCTAGCGACTGTGGCTCTGGGGCCTTCGGAGGACTCGGAGGAAGCAAATCTGCATCCCCCGGTTCGGAAGGTTCGTACTCTTGAAGATCCGGATCATCCTCAGGAGCAAGAGGAGGAGGAGCCGGTTCCTCGGGTGCCTTTCCCTGTGGAAAGCT